GTGGAGGTTCAATACCTCCATGGCACCTGCAAATGGAGCAGCTGAGGGAGCTGTGGGGGCTCAGCCTGGAGAAAAGGAGGCTCAGGGGAACCTTCAGCTCTCTCTAACTCCCTGACAGGAGGTGCAGCCAGGTGGGGTCAGGCTCTGCTCCCAGGGAACAAGGGACAGGACAAGCAGAAACAGCCTCAAGCTGTGCCAGGGGAGGTTCAGGTTGGCCATCAGGAGGAATTTCTCCATGGGAAGGGCTGTCAGGCATTGGAACTGTTCAGGGAGGTGTCTGGACTGAGTTATGTGTTCAGCTCTAGGTGCAGGTCCCAGGCAGCAATCCCTGCCCTGGGAAGGGAATGTCCAGGATGAGGAGGATTTGGTGGAAGGAGCACTGTGATATGTTTTGATGAGGCACTGGCTCAGGGTGTCCAGAGAAACTGTAGCTGCTCCATCCCAGGGAGTGTTCCAGGCCAGGCTGGATGGAGCTTGGAGCAACCTGGGCTGGTGGAAGGTGTTCCTGGATGGTACTGGATGGGCTGTCAAGTCCTTTCCAACCCAGACCGTTCCATGATTCTATGCCATGGAGCAGGAAACTTCTCTCCTCCTGGCACGGCCTCACTGGGAGCAACACCCTGGGAACCCCTTGCAAGGAGGTCTCAATGTCTCCTCTCAGTCCAGCAAGGGAATGATGAACACGGGGCACCAATTCCATCCTGGAAAGGGCTGTCCAGCCCTGGCACAACTGCCCAGGGCAGTGTTGGATTCCCCATCCCTGGAGGGATTGAACATCCATGTGGTTGTGCACTTGGGCACATGGTCAGTAGTGGCCTTGGCAGTGCAGGGGGATCAGCTAGACTTGGTGGTCTGAAAGGGCCTTCTGAACCCAAACGAGTCTGTGATTCCATGGGGTTTAGCCCAGAGTTGGCTGCCAGGTCTGGCTCTGTCCTCCTTCCCTGCCCAACCTCATTGGTGTCACCACCACTGCTGTCCTGAGCCCCAAGGAGGGAAAGGGCTGATGTTTGCTGTGTCCTCCCTGGCAGCATGGAAGAGGATGAGATGTATTACCACAGTGATGATGAACTCCTCGGAGAGGGAGATTCCCTTAGCCAGGGCTCCCTCAATGCCAGGTAGGAGCCACTCAGCACCCACTGGTGCTGGTGGCAGTGTGGTGTGCAGTGCTGTGTTGCTCCTGCCTTATCCCTATGGACCTCCCAGAAGTATTCCCTCTGCATTCCCATTTTTTTGGCTGCTGGTGGGAAGAAGTGATGAAGCAGCTGGAAAAACATCCTTGGAAGGATGCCCAGGAGGGATCCAGGATGGAGAAAGGGCCTTGGGGTGAGGCTGCAGCTTGGTGTTGCCTTGACTTTGACGTCTCCTTTCTTCTCCTGGTGCCACCACACCAGCTGTCCCCATGGCCAAGGATCAGGATGGGGTTGAGCTACTTGTATGTGCATGAAGATCTGATTCCTGTTTGTAGTGGCTTGTCTCATGGTGTTTGTGCTGTGAGTTGTTCCTCACCACATGCCAAGGAGTTTGGGGAGAATCTGTCTCAAAGAAGAGTTCAGGGGTTGAGCCAACACTTCTGAATGCAGCTCAGACACAGGAAGGAGCATTTGGAGGGGCATGTCCTCAACTCCTGTGGGTCCAGTGATTGCACACATGGCTCTTCTGGAGTGAGTGGTGGAGCCATCATCCCTGGAGGTGTTCAAGGAATGACTGGACATGGCACTCAGTGCTCTGGTCTAGCTGACAAGATGGTGATGCGTCACAGGCTGGACTTGGTGGGCTTGGAGAGCTTTTCCAACCTCAGTGATTCTGCGATCTGTGGTTCCTTAAAGCAGCTCCCATGCAGCTGCTCTGTGCATGCCTCAGGCTTCAGCAGCAGGAACATATTGACTATCCATCATGGAAGTTCCTGGCCATGCCTCTGCTGGCAAACAGCTTTGGCAGGAATAAGGTGGTGTCAGGCCAAGCTTCTGAAGTGCCCAAAGCCTTAAGGAATTATTAGGACAGTCTCTGAGGAGATTTTGGTTGTCTAGCACTGACCCAGAGCAGCTGTGGCTGCTCCATCCCTGGGAGTGTTCCAGGTCAGGTTGGATGGGGCTT